TCCATCATAGCAGAGCTATGTGTTATTTATTTTATTGTAAGTACACATGACTGTGATTAGGGTCAGAACTGTGGCTTTCCAGCAAAGCGGGATTTTAGCTTCTTCATCCAGTTTTTGTCCTATAATCCCTTTCCTTGTGGAATCAAGAAAGGCTTTAAAACATCTCTTCAGGTGACTCCTGGAATTTTGGAACAAAAAAGGAAAGGGGATCATAAATCCCCATGCAGAGTACAACACATACTTGCACCAACATAAATAATCTGAAAGTTTAGTTTGACCTTCAGACTCTCAGCTTGGGCTCTTTAGTCTGTTGCAAGCTCAGAGTATCCTAGAAGATAAATTAAAGGGGATGGGTGTAATATAAAGAATTAACAGGTAACTGGATTTCTCAGTTTTCTAAGGAAACTTATTCACCAAGTAAATCAGTTTGTAACTTTATGTGGGTGAACATGGGAATTTTGTGGAAATAGAGAATAAATGCAAATATAGTACCCTAATTTAGAATAGCAACAGTCTCTTGTAATGAGAGATATGCTTCAGGCAGAGAATATTTCCTGAGTTTAAAATGTGGCATTTTTGCCTCTGTTGTGCTTTAATAGAAATATCAGCCAATTGATATGATTAAAACTTGAAGTTTCACAGTTTCTAAGAACATGTAGAACACTTACTGGTTTTACTATTATGAGTAATAAGATTTCCCCTCCCTTTACTGGTTTCTCAGATTTATTAAGTACTACTTTTCGGAGTGATGAGTCATCCTTTCTGACAATTCTCTGTAATTATCTTGTATTCATCTTGATTCTAACATAGCCATGAATGTATTAGTATCAACTAAGAAAATGGAAAATTTCTGGAATGCTTAAAGTGTTAATGTCACTGAGAGACACTTCTATAATTCAGTAATTTCATTTACAAGTATTAATGCTCATGTGGTAATGATATTCTTTCTTAAGTCAAAGCTAAACTGTTGTTTTAGCATTTAGTTTTTGCTCAGAGCATGTAGTTCTTAGTTTTAGTTTTGGATCATGGATCTTTTGCAGTTAGAACCTGAAGTCTACTGAAGGGTGGTGGCATCCAAACTTGGTCTGAAGTTTATTATAAGAATAATTGAATAGTATTGTCTCAGTGCAGAAAAGGCAAGCAGCTTCTCTGGTTAAAATACTGCTTGCCTCTTATGTGCTACTGACAGCTGCTGTAGAACTGCTAAGTGAAATCTCTGGCACTATTCACAGCTCTTTTGTGAACATATGCATGCCTGAATTGGAGCCCAAGCATTTAATATCAAGGCTACCAAAATATCTGAAATGTACTTCTTAAATTCAGATATTTTAAGCAAATAATGCTTTCCCTTTAATTATGTTTGCCAGTTTTATACTTAGGTAGCTGAGTTTAGGGGTGTTTATATAATCTCCATAAGATCAACTTCTCTTTAGAAGTTGGTTGTGTTTCAGGAATTGTTTCCTCAAGGACTCTGATGTGATCATATTCATGACATCTTTGAATATGTGTAAGTAAATACATCCAGCAGTTTTTTTCTTAATATGAAAGTTCCAAATCTGTGTGTTTACATATATTGTGTGGTGTACCTATTTGGTATGAGCCTCAACCTCTTGCTTTCACATTGTTTATGATCAGTTTTCAGAGGGCAAAGTGTTTGTGTAAATGTAACACCTTTTTCCCCGGTAAAAGATATAGTATCCTAAAGCATTATAGCATTACCAGAGAACCTTCTGCATGAGGATCTGCTTTCCTGGCTTCTCCTTCTCCATATGGTAATTCAGGCTTGAGAAAATTTTCCCATTGGAACTAGTGGAAGGCATTTCAAGCTTAATTAACATGTGGGGCAGACTGATAATGGAGGGGGGGTGTAACTGGGGTGGGGACAGTTAACCCATTTCTTTGCTTTTATCTCTATGAAAATCACCCTCTGCCTGGTAATTAATCTGGGACAAAACTCCTTTGGATTCCAGGTGGAAACATTTTTCAGGCTTAATTGTTGCATGGGGCCTGTGTGACTGTAAGAACAGCCACTCCAGTTCAGACAAAGCAGCTATCTAGTCCAGTTAGTTCCCAGAGTGATTAGGAGGTCAAGAGTACAACAGCACCTTCTATTCATATTCCTCTGCAAATGGTATCTAGGAAGGTTGTGAGCTCTCTCACACTAGAGGCATTCAAAATGCAGCTGGACAGCCATCCAAGAGGAATGGTTTAACATCAGTGTCCTGCATTGCGCAGGGGGTAGGGCCAGATGGCCTTCTTGGTCCCTTCCAACTCTACTGTTCCCTGATTCCATTATTCAAACACTTGAGGTATTATATGGACATGATCACTAGCAGTCTTACCCTTGATAAATTTGTTTGAAGCTTCCTTAAAGATGCCCAAGCCATCCTTGTGTCTTATGACAGCAACTTCCATAGTTTATCTGTGTTCCATGTTCCTTTCATTTGTCCTGAATTTTCCACCATTAGCCCTCATTGATTATTCTTGTTCTAGTATTATGAGAGATGAAAAAAGCTGCACTGCTTTTATTCTCTACACCATGCATAATCTTACATGCCTTTATCATGTTCTGCCTTACCATCTTTGCTACCTGTCATCCTGAAGCCAAGTGGAAATGATTAAGCAGAATGCATTCATATGGTTGCTCATTCAACCATGCAAATTTTGCAATTTGCAAACAATTTTGAATTATCGTGATATCAGAACATGGTCATTGGTTTATCCTTTCAGCAAGCTGATTTCGTGTGCTACTTATTCCTTAGTTTATAGCAGCATCCAGCATTGTTTGAAACACTGCTGTGTTCCATCAAGTCATCTCTACCTTATTGCAACTCTGTAAATGAATGCCCTTCAAAATGTCCTGTCCTTCACAGCCCTTCTCAACACAAGGCTATGGCTACTTTATGGAGTTAGTCTGTCTTATGGTTGGTCTTCCTTTTCGTCTTATGCCTTTGACTTTCCCTAGCATGATTGTCTTCTCCAGGGAGTCTTCCTTTCTTAAGATGTTCTTAGTCTGGCAACTTTTTGCTTCAAATCAATTTCTAACTTGATTTGATCTAGGACCCACTTGTTCATCTTTCAGTCAGTGCAGGGTATTAGTAAAGCTCTCCTACAGCACCATTTCTGAACACATATTTTTTTTCCTGTCAGCTTTCTTCACCGTCCATCTTTCACACCCATCCATAGCAACTGAGAATACAATAGTATGGATGATCTTGGCCTTGGTCACCCATGAAATGTCCTTAACTTGTGTTGATCTGTTTTAGTTCCTTTATTCCTTCCAAATCTCAATCCTCTTCTAATTTCTTGACTGTAATTTCTCTGAGTCAAAGTATGCAAAATCTTTCACAGTTTTAAAACACAAATGCCAAATTGCATGGAGTGTATCAACGCAGCAAAAAAAAAAAAAAAAAGGTACCAGCAAAATATTGTGTAATCATGCAGTATTCTTCCGTGATGTTAGGAGGATTCATTTGATGCAACAGCATGACAGTGCTACCACTCTAGAAGTTTTGGAATATGACTCATGTGAAAAACATCAAGAGTTCGGGCAACTGGAATGACCAAAAGAAAGGGAAACTATGTAAGAGGCACTTCCTCATGCAAAGAATGAATAACATTTAAGTGATTAAAAAATAAAAAGTATATTGTATGAAAAGGCTTGATATGGAGATTGAAGTTCCTTAAAGGAGAAGGACATGTCATTAAGACAGTTTAAATAAGCCAAGTTATCCAAATAGTCCACATTTTCCAGTGGTCTATTGGTTTGCTGCATTTTTGGAATTTGTCTGTAGACTGTGTTTTGTCGACCAGAATAGAGAAGCAGCAGTTCCTTTTCATGTGTGCGGCAAAGAAATATTAGGAGGATTCATGCACTAGGTTTGGTGATGGGAAGGGTCAAGAGAGCTGCTACATAAAAGTAGCTTCAGATGGAAATGAAGCCTGCAGAAATACATGTCAGAATATGTATTTCAATAGCTTAATTGTAAGGTAGTCCATTTAGGATCACAGGGCCAAAACAGAGGTTACTTTAAATCTAGGTCTGGCAGTGGCAACTTTTTGTTTATTCTTTTACCATGCAGTAGATGCAAGGTCCCCCTAAATGCCTCCATAACCCCTGCTCATGCTATAGTTCAGTCTAGTATCCATTCTAGAGTAAAAAATTAAAACATGTAGCTGCTGGGCATGGATCTAACATAAGATCTGTTTTGGTTAAGAATAGGAGAAAAATCTAAGGTCCTGTTCCTTCTTAGTATATCTGTGTTCTACATCTTGTGACTCAGTGAAGAAAAGGGGGCTGTAAATTTCTTAAATTCTGTAGGCATTATGACACAATCCATTGGGGCAGCCTGTTGTTGTTAGTCCCAAAGACGTGCCCAACCCATTACAACCCCATGGACAACATTCCCCCAGGCCTTCCCATCCTCCACCATCCCTCGGAGTCCACCCAAGCTCAGTTACTCCATCTAGCCACCTCTTCCTCTGCCGTACCCTTCTCCTTGTGCAGTCAATCATTTCCAGCATCAGGGTTGGGGAAACCTATAGCCCTCCAAACAAAGAGATTATGGGTACCTTATCAAGGGCAGAAGGAGCATGGAGATGAAGATCGCCTCTATTCTTTCCTGCACAGTGAGGGGAAAACAACTGTGAGGGTGAAGAGACAGAGTTTGCTGTGAGATTGGAGTTTCATCCCTGACTTCAGAAGGCATTTTCAAGGGTGGAGCTGGGACTCCACACTTCCCTGTTGCTGTCTAGTCAGCATCTAGTGGGCATAAGATTGTGGCATTACTTATCTTTTTCTAAAACGTTTGAGAGATTAGCACTTTGGTGTTGTATTTAACCATAATCTCTTGGCCTCTATTTAACTCTTACCCCTTAAGCCATGCTAATGATTTGTAAGGAAATGCATTGAGGAATGTCCATTCATGTAGCCTATAAATATGAAAGCAAATCTTTCTAAAGTGGTGACTATAGCTTAATCTTGCTTGTTGGTTTTTTAGAAGAATGTGGGGGAGACAGAGAAGCTGTAGGAGCAAGAGAGCTAACAGAAACTTCCAGTAACCAAAGCATACAAGCAGACACACAAGAACGGCCTGTGTGGGGAAACTGCACTGATGATGACCTCATCAGAAGTAAGTATTTCCAGAACTAATTGCTGCTGTTTAGACTTGCATTTTTAGTATACTCTGGATGCAGACGGCTGAATTACTGAAATCTGTGTCAAATGTGTTTATGTTGAACTATAATATGTGTGTCAATGGAATTTCTTCCCAGGGATGATTTCTGTCAGTGTTCATCGTCAAAGATTAAATATCATGTTATAAACAGGCTGTTTGTATGACTTGAGTAAACACGCATTTTACCATGTCATAGAGAGCTTCTGTGCGTAATTCATATTTTAAGACGCATACTGCTGTTTTTCATTAATTCATGGCAGTTTCTACAGTACTGAACAAACTTGAGAATTAGTGTGTAAATATAAATATATATGCAGATATAGAGGGGTGCAGAGAGAGAATGAGAGGGAGAGTGAGCAAGGCAAGGTGAGGCTAGGCTAGGCTAGGCTTTGGCACAAGGAGAACAACATATTTGGACCGATTTCACTTGTAATAGCAAGTGCAGAACACTCAGCTTACCCTGTGTGGAAAAGACACTAGTGGATCCAACGCATGCTGAGCACTTGTGATGGACCAATTGATTTACAGAACAATTGTAAACCCCATACATAGAACCGTAGTCTTAGAGTTAGGCTGCAGTCCTGTAGACATGTACATTAGAACACGTGTCACTGCAAATGGCAGGATGTGCTTCCAAGTAAATTTGCAAAGGATTGCACTGTTAAGTTACAACTGTATTTTAAAATCCTGTGCCAACATATCAGTAAGTAAGTCATCCTTTGGAAGAAAACAGATGATCAGAATGTTCCAAAAAATCTTTGAATGTACAGAGCTAGAAGAGAACAAATTTTAGAACTAATGGACAGTAAAGAAACTCAAAAGCTTATTATTTTCTTCTCTGTTTGTCTGGCAGCTAAGAGCATATGTTTGGTGCACAAAATGATGTGCACATACATGCATGTGCATGCACACACCCATATCTGTTGGGGCTACTTCATTTTAATAGCATAGTGTTTAAGTATAGCATAACTATGAGCTGCAGCAGGGGTGGGCAACTTGTGGCCTGCCAGAGTTTCTGTCTTATAACTCATTATCTCTCACTGTTGTCTATGCTGGCTAGGCCAAAACAATTGGCAGGCTGCAAGTTATCCCCAAACTAGAGGTCCAAATGCAACTCCACGGATCCTGATTTCACTGAGTGGTTTTGCCTAGGATCACTATTTCTTGGTTTCTGCCTGTCTACCCTTCCCATTTGTAAGGGGTAATGATAATACTAACATACATTATTGTAAACTTGTTAGGATTATTCATTTTTGCTATGCTGATGCAAGTACTGCACATGTTTTTATACACACAATGCAAGTAACTGTATGGGCACAACTATACATACATATGGATACGAAACACATTTAATCATTGGGACATAGTTCTTTCAACATGAATTTAGCGGCTGTATAGTTCATGTGACTTCCATCTGTTCTAAGTCCAGGCTTCAAGATAACCTGAGAAGGCTCTTTTCCATGTGCCCCCACCTTATGAGTCATTTAGGCCTCCTTGGGGCTGGCTCCCTATTGGTTAGGCATTTAAGGCACTAACGAAAAGTATTTGTTTAAGACTTCTACTCTTTTGATGCTGATTTTTAAAGTGCTTTTGAGATTTAAGATTTTACTGGTAGCTTTATGATTTTTAGATTTTGTTTAGTGCTCTGCTGCTGTTTTAATTCTATGTTCATTTATTTTTAAATTTGCTTTAATTTTTTTTCAATTTACAATTTATACTGTAAACTGACTAAGAAGTTATAAGAGGAATACATTACATTTATTTATTAAATTTCTATGCTGCCCAATAGCTGAAGTTCTGTAAGTATTTCACAGAGCAAATTTAAAACTATAAAATCCATTAATATAATAAAATTATATAGAAACCTTAACTTCAAAACAGAATGAAACCAAACTAAAAACTAGGGAAAAGCCAGTAGCAATCAATAAAACATGCACAAATGCAATTTTAAAATGGAAGCACTGAAAACATGGAAAAATAAAATTGGTGTCCAAAAGACTACAACTGGTGCCAGCATTAAAAGTTCCTTCTCTTTAGTACTCCTAACCCTAACCCTTGTTTCTGATGAGGTATTAAACAAAATCATGACAGAGGAACCATCAGGAATGGGGCACATAGTTAACATTTGAGTATGAGGGTTTCACATTAGAGATAACAGTGAGATTAACTAGTGTTTCCTTACTGTTTCAGCAGCTTTTTCTTCAAGATCTTTATTCATTTCTTGCAAGAATGAAACTTTCAAGTTTGATAATTTATCACTTTTTGTTGTTGGAGTATTATGTGTGTGGCACTCATGCAAGAAGAAGAAATGAAAACAGTGAACACTGATATTAAAGCAATTTTCTTATGTGTTCACAGTTTTGCTCTGTTTGCAGGGAACAACTGTAACTGAATACTGTCATTTTATGGTTTAGTATATCCATTCTATTCACTAGTTTTATCCTGCAGATGCAGCTCAGATAGCCTAAGAGGCTATGGAAAGCAAATGTTTTTAGTTCTGATTTATGTTGTAATATGCATGGGAAACTTTCTGCTAATGTGTGCTTCTGCTTTTGGCACTGAATGTTCAAAAAAACTGAAGGAAATCAAAATTTGTTAACACCGCCCCCGTATGAATCAGAGTCTCTGTACTGATATGGTTGCTTATATGTTGTCATGCAGTATAGTATTCTACGGATCCATTCCTATGCCTGTTAACTCAGAAAAAGTGTTAGAGCTGCCAGCACCTCTCAACCAGCCATTCTTTCTTACTTCTAGCTGCTGTATCTTATCCTTCTGTCTAAACCTGCATAGAATTGCACAGTTCCTATTGTGAAGATCATAAGCCTCAAACACTGAGGCTTTCTTGTTGCCTTCCTTCTCGGCTGCATGGAACCACCCCTTTTCCCTCTCTCCAAGGTTGCTTTCCTAACCTTAGAGAGCATCCAGCATGGTTCTTCGTCGTGGCCTCTGTGCATCACACATATGGGGTACTGCGCCTGCGCAGTGCCTTTGGCCGGAAGATTGATAGCTAACGGTTTTTGGCGGGAAGCTCCGCTCCCACTCCCCTTGTGGCCTATAAAGAGCGGAGTGTCCGCCATTTTGTTCAGTCTTTGCGACCGCTGTTCACTGTGCCTCGTGCCGCTTTCGACTTTCGCTTTGGCTATTCTTGGTTCTCTCCTTATATATTGCCCTTATACTACTTTCCCCTTTCTTCGTTTCCACTTCTGTTTTTCTCTTGTTATTTCTTTCTTCGATCTATCAAAAAAAAAAAAAAACACCCAAAAATATATACTTACCCTCTGCACTATCTCTCTTCTTCTTCTTTTCTTCTGCGATGGCGCAGTGAGTGGCTTTCTGCAAATGTGCGGACTGCAGGTCAAAAATGGCACCTACTGACCCGCACAACCTATGCCTCCTCTGCCTTGGAGAGGGGCATAGGATGGATAAGTGCATTCATTGCCTAGCCTTCTCAAAGCAGGCTAGGTAGAACCACAAGAACCGGCTTCGGAGGCTCCTTTGTCTCCATCCCAAAACCTGGCTCTGCTTCTGTCGCTCCACCCTCACGCCCTTCGGATGAAGGTGCGTCTGCTTCGGTGGCCCCCTCTGCTTCACCAAAAAAGAGGCATGAGAAGCGGAAGCATGCCGAAGAGAAGCCGGCAGGCCATAAGAAGGCCAGAAAGGAGAAGGCCTCTAAGCCTCCAAAGAAGGCTAAGTCCACAGACCGTCCCCGACATCGGTACTCGGAGCTGATGGGACCCTTGGTACTGGTGGCGGTTACGATACCGACCCCGCCTGAACCGATCCTTCAGGAGGCCATGGGGGTTACCCCTCAAGGGTCTCCCCGATGTGCGGTCGACCTCCCGCCTGCACCCCTTCCAACTCTACGGGGGTCTATTTCGGATGGGGAAATCCAGGACTCCCCTCCTAGGGCAAGGTCACCGACACCGATGCCCACGGTGACGTTGGAGACAGAAGCTGGCCTGTCCCCACCAGGGAATCGGAGGAGCCGCTCGGTAGAGCAACGCCCAGAGAGCTGGCATCGTCTCTACTACCAACCTCGGGGAGACCCTCTCTCTGTGGGGTACTACCCTGCTCCCAGGGCGCGATCCTCACCTCTGCCCTGCAACCAACCGCGGTCAGTGGATTCGAGGAGGGTGCCACCTCGATCCCTGCAAAGCGGAAGCAGCCGCTCCTTCTCGCCGGCGGAGTCATCATCTTCTGCCCCACCATACTACGGTGCTGATTCGGATGACTCTGAAGTAGACTCAACCTCCCTGGACGTTGTAGTGACATCCCAGGATCCTGCATCACCCAGTGAGTCCCATGTCTCCTTCGCGGAGCTGATGTCGAGGCTTGTCCAGTCCCTGGACATTGTCGCTGCCCAGCACCCGGGACCGTCGACGGACAAGTTTTACGACGTCATCTGCGGGGAGCAATCGACCTCCATCGTTCTGCCGCTTATAACCACCCTGCGGCAGGCGATGACGCAGCCCTGGGATCTACCTTCACATCCTCAGCCAACGTCCAGGAGGTATGAGTCTATGTACAGGGTCCGGGAAGAAGACATCCCTTTCCTGTTAAAGCACCCGAAACCAAACTCGGCGGTCGTTGAATCCTCGCAAGGCAGAGAGGCGAGAGGACATATGGCGCTGAGGGATAAGAGGGCCGGAAAATAGATTCCCTGGCCAGGCGAGTCCATGTTGCCTCGGGCTTAGGACTTCGCATATCCAACTACGAGGCGACGTTGGCGCGATATCAATATTTTATTATGCAGCGCCTCCACAACGTCGCCTCCACCCTCCCAGACCACCAGGGTGGCCTTGCGAAGGTCCTAATCAAAGAAGCCATGCAGGTCGCGGTGCAGCAGTTGTCCACGGCACGTCACCATGTGGACACTGACTCCCAGGCCTTGGTCGGTGCCGTTTCCCTCCGGAGACACGCATGGCTTCGGAATTGTAATTTCCCAAAGGAAA